GTCAAAGCTGGCCCTGTCAAGCTTGCTTGAAAGGTCTGGATCATGAGGAGCTCATTATCGACATATTGGGTCATCCGCACATGATAGATGTGCAAGTGGTGCTTGAGGCATGAAGTGCCATTATATTTTTCGAATTTTGGCATTTTAAATTTTTCTAGCACCTTGACCCTTTTGTACACGGATAAGTCAAGTGGGATAGCATGTTGCTGGCCTTGCAATTGTTTCAACATCTCCTCGACCTTTGCAAGGCGCTTGTCATGCTCTGTCATAGGCGCGCTTACAAGTTCAGTCTTCTTGATGGCAAGTGGAAGCGTATCGTCCTTTAGCAGGGGCATTTTGCTGTCGCTGGCGGAGGCTTTCTATTTTCCAGTAGGCGGTGGTGGTAACATCACCTCAATTGATGCAGGGTTGGGCATGAGCTTGCCATTGATAGATTCTACCTGTTTGGTGAGATTTTCAAGTACATTGAAAACCATTTTCATTTCGTTTTCCTTGTTATTGAGACGGATCGGCATGTTTTCCTCGGCCATTTAATTTGTAACTACCTGTGAAGACGTTAAAATAAATGAGTATAAGATCTCATAAAGAATCAGTTCATGACTTAGTCTAGTTTTGTACGTATTTTCTTTATTTGCAAAAAATAAGAGAAGCAAAAAAAGTTGTTATTTACATATTCATTACAACGGCAACCCTGGGGTTCAAACCCCGGTCGCCTCGGACCTTTCATTCCCCGGATACCACTAGGCTAAGGCCATGATAGTATCTTTAGAGCGTAATTTCTTTTATTTACATATCAAAAAGTGGTCCAACTTATATTAACATCAGTACAATCCCTAAACATTTAAAACTAGAAAACATAAACTCCTAAACATAAATACTAGGAAATTATAAAAGGCATGGGCTTTTAACAATAAGGGGGCCTTTCTCAGACACTCATTCTATATATGATGGGGAAGCCACAATCTCTCGGAGTCACTTATTTTCACGGACAAGCTACGCGATAAGCGTATCACTTGTCCCCATAGTCTTTTCAAGATGATTGATCCGTGCTTGGGGATTGGGCTTGTCAACCATATCTGGGATCTTTGACTGTAAAGCTGCTGGGATTTGATGATGGAGAATGTAGAATAGAGAGGCATGGTGGACTTTTTCTTACCCTTTCAGTCTCCTGGGTACAAGTACATTCTCAAGCTGACACTCGACCCATGCACTCTGGATGGCATGAATCTCGCTGATGTAGTTATAGTTCGAGCGAGTGAATCGGACTCGAAACAGGTCCGTCTTGAGAGGCGGTGAGATCTCCTGAAGGGCCCTGTACTGGCGGGCTACCCGGTAGGGGTAGTAAGAAGTGGCACCAGATAAACCGAGCAATGGAACAGGGTTGTGAAATCTGTGAGCATAAGGAGCCCGACCCTCATGGAACCATTTAGCATGCCATAAGAATGCTTTGGGATCGGGGTTTTTTAAAAAGTTTATCCAACAAGAGTAATCCTTATTAGGGGAATTATTTTTTAAGATCTCAAATCTTTGTATCGGATGCATAAAGTCATCAATTTCAAAAAGCTACATAAAGTGCCCGAATCCTCTCAAGTGAGACAAAAACCAAATTTGCAAAATTTCCGAGGCGGCCCGCATGACCTTCTCCTCATTTTGTTTAAAACGGTTAAGGGACAAGAATGTTTCTGCCAATACCAAATTAATATAACCCATGGCAGTGCAAATTTGTTTAGCAACATACGCAATTGAGGGGTTTATAGAATTTTTGCGATGAGGAAAAATGACAAACCCGATAAAAGCTAGGAGAAAGATTGTATTTTTTTTAATCATGAGTTGATTTTCAAAGCATTCGTTTAAGAAAAATAAGGGGCATGAATTACAATGAGCTTTAACGACCCTTTTTACGACATTGATCTCAACTCGTAAAAATTGGGACAATTCGGGTATAGGAGATATGCCCAAAAGTAGTTTGATGAGTTCATATCCCAAAGGTATTCCAATGGCAAACACTATATTCTTCCAAAGTCGAGGTCATTTCAAATTTACCAAATACGAAAGTGGATGTCTGAGGGCACTAAAAATGTGCCAATGCCTGCATCATGCTAGAATGGACATTGATCTTGAGCAGTGAAAGTAGGCGACCAATTCTTGCTTTGACATATTGTTGGCCGTTTTAATCTAGCCGGCCCCACCACGCCAGAAGCTTTATCTTAGGAGTGGGGACGAATTGGACATCAGCTCTTCACATCGTATATAGAATGAAATCAACGGGTAACCTAACAGTCACAAATTAAAGGAATAAGTGCGTTGCATAATAAAATAAGAAGGGATAGAATATATACCTTTCCTTGAACCATGGCAATCACAACAATATGCACATGAAGAGTGAGGTTCGATTTCTATTTAGACTGGTTCAACAAAGTGAAGCTAAAAGGGTGCCTGACCGTTGCAGTCTCGCGTTGGTGTCAAGTCCTTTTAACCTCGGCCAAGTCAAAAAGAATATCTTATAGTCACGTGAATAATGGCTAAAGATAGATCTTTACGACATTTAGATATAAATTTCGGGAAAAGAAAGGCAACCTCTACATCGCGGGCTCGCGTTCGAGGTCGTATCTTTGTTAACACTATCCTAAAGTACCTTATCACGGCCCAGGTCCAGCGGCATGGTTATGTGTGCAACAGTGTAGTGCTGAATCATTAAAGCATGCACAACAATTCATAAATAATCAATTCAAAACTGCAAGAACATTTAACACCTTACTATCAGGGTCATACCTGGAATCCTCGCTGCAAAACAAAAAGTGTTTTTGAACAGGATAAATTTTTTTGGCTTAAGTCCACTCAAGAAAAATTAGTCTCCAGCGGAGTCGCCAAGCTGTCGCGATCGACCTCCGGCTTTTTTAAGATAAAAGAAGGGTCGCCTGGTACGCGCTAAGCCTAGGTCTGGGACTTAACTCGGGCTCTCCTAAGCCTATACCATATCGCGACTTAGGATTTAGGTTTTTAACTTGCAAGTGGTTTTTATCAAGGAGTCGCCACTAATCAGTTTGGGGTGGGTCGATTAGAAACCCAAGTAAGGTGATGGGAGAATCACCCTACTCCTACGAACCAGAGATTAAGTGAGTTCGGAAACTTGATTACACTAGTTGAATAACTAGTGCCTTTTCGGTACCTTTTTACCCTATTCATTTCTAAAAATATTTGTCAAACAATTTGGATTGATTTTAGGACCTTTCTCATAAAATGTGAGGTGATCAAGCGAGTGCATAATCATAAATGATTAGTAGTCAAGATAGATATGCAGCTTAGAGTTCTAAACCTAACTAAGGTGACAACATTCAAAACATAACAATTTAGGCAATTATATTCTAATTAAAAACAACATGCATAATAACAATACAACAACAATTTAAAACATTCAGATATATCATATAATTTAGAAAAATATTAGATAATACTATATCTAAATTATATCCTAATTTTAAAAAGAAAATGAAAAAAATTCGAAATTTTTTTTTAAATATTTTTTTATTTTAATTTTTATAAAAAATATTTTTTAATAAAAATAATATTAAAACCGGGTCGGGTCAGCGGATCCGAATCGATCAGAACCGACCCGGGTCAACGGATCCTACCCAAGGCGTTGACCTGCGTCGGGTCGGTTGATTCGGGTCGGTCAGAACCGACCCAGGTCAACGGATCCTACCCAAGGCGCTGACCCGGGTCGAGTCGGTTGATTCAGGTCGGATTGATTCCCGCGTGCATAGGCATGCGGGGATGCCGGTGGAGACAAAATTGACCTCTCGCCGGCTGACGCAGGCCTGCTCCAACCTAAATCCGGCCTCTGGGGACCACCACCAGGCCTTCTTATCCACCTAGATCACCGTCCGACCACTCACTCGCCGGCAAGCGACCAAAATAAATTCGGCCTCAATGAGGCATTTCGTCGAACACCTGGCGTGCACAACCAAAAAGGGGAACTTTCGACCTGTTTCGGGGCCCCGCCTTACCTTTGGTGACGACGTACATGCTGTAGGGAACAATGGTATGGGCCGAGATTCGCGCGAAACGACCGGCGTGAGTCCCGACCAAACCACACACAAAAATAGGGCAGAACAAGGGTAGTTGGGGGCCGGGGAGGCTCACCGGTCAGCGGCGCATCTAGGGGGTCTCCGGCTGATCTGGGGGCGACGGTGAGGCTACTGGCTCCTTTCTCGCGACCTGTGAGCCCTCGGTATACTCCCCCCCTCTCTCTCTCTCTCTCTCTCTCTCTCTCTCTCTCTCTCTCTCTCTCTCTCTCTCTCTCTATATATATATATATATATATATATTTTCTCTCAAATCCTCTCTCTTCTTCTCTCTCTCTTTCTCTATTTTTTTGTTCAAAGGGGACCGATCCGTCTCTCTCTCTCTCTCTCGCCGGCTTATAAAGCCGATGCTGTGCCACTCTCCCTGCTCTCATCTTCTCCATTAATGGCCTGCACCGGCCTAGGCCTGCTTAAGACTTTTGTGGCCATTTAGGCCGGTGCAGGGGGTTGTTCTGGTGCCAGAGAAGAAGAGAAGAAGAAGAGGGAGAGGAGGCCAGGAAATCGGGGAGGACGGGACTAGCCATCAATGCCAGTCCTGTTGGCGTGCTTCCCTATCCATATTCTGCTAGAATGGACAGGGAGCAGCCGCTCCATCGTCGGTTGTTTGGACGGTGTAAAACAGGGGAAAGCAGAGGAGAGAAGGAAGAAGAGGGAACTGAGCCGGGTTGGGCCCAGCTCGCACAGAGGAAAAGAAGAAAGAGAAGGGCAGGCTAGGCCCATGCGGGGGAAAAGAAGCAAGGGCCGGGTCGACCCGGCCCCGACCCAGCCCAATCCGTTGTTTTTTTTTGTATTATTATTATTATTTTTTAAAAAAATTTGTTTAAAAACTCTAATTAGTGCAATTACCATTATCATGCCCAATGTCTAGATGCAATGCAATTGGATGAAAATATTTTTTGTTTCAGGAACTAAAAATTTAATTCCTAATTTTTACATAATTAATTTAATTTGGTAATTAAAAATATGTGTCAACAAGATGGTCTCTATTAGCTGTTGCAGGGGACTTATTCATGTCCTACTAATTGAACAAGGATGACACAAGCGGTGGACAGTGCACCAAACTCTTCCTAGATCCTCATAAAGAGATTTCTCAGATCAACCTTGCTGGATACCGATTTCCCATTTGTTTCAAACTTTTGGCAGGAGTTCCACATGTGGCTCTTCCTCATGTGTGGCAGCATGAGATCCAGAGGGATAAGTACGTCTTATTTCATCAATTTGCACTAGGTTTCAACGCCAGGAACTGGAGTTTCTGTAGTCTACCATCCGATTCCAACGGCGATATTTCTTCACTGTAGCTTTATGATAACAATCCAGTGGCAGGACTCACAGCGCTATGTACTCTGTCAGTGGCTTTCTTTGCCTGCAATAATACCAGATGTCAAGTACCAACCATAGATCAAATAATACTTTACACGGTAAAAACGTTCCATTTATCGATGCATCGTAAATTACCTCTTTCTCCCAGTTGGTACATCCTGTTAGGACCGCAAGTAACAATGCTTGCGCAAAGAGTGCAACTATAATCCCGATCCAGAGGCCCTGCAGCTCGATAGGATGAACAGGCAATCATATAAATATCGGACTGACTTACAATGAAAGCAAAGGACGAATTGCAGTAGAATGGTAGGGTAACTGCGATTTACCTTTCCGCCAATGTGACAGACAAAAGCTAGGAATATGGCCATCGGAATACCCAACAAATAGTAGGCACCCAAATTGATGAAAGCTCCAATCTTTTGCCATCCACATCCTCTTGCAGTGCCTGAAAAAAATGTAACTTATAGCATCAAAACAGTCGAAGTACAAATAGGTTTTAACTTGAAAATATTTGAGATTTGACACAATCTCCATCTTCCCTCCCTATTAACAGGATAAGCAGTCAAAGTTAAACTAGGTCAGGTGCGCCATTAAATTGCAATAATAAGTAAAGTTCGTGCATACCTGAAAGCACGGACTGAATGCCATCGATAATATGGGAAGTTGCGATTAGTACCAACATATCTCCCACATAGTTCACGATTTCTTCTTCTGTGCTATAGAGGTAGCCCCACACCCTTCGACCAAAGATCATGAGAGTACCTGCAAGCAAACCTTCCGTGGCGACCATCATTAAGGAAACATAAATTGCCAAACGAGCTGCTTGTGGTCTTCCAGCGCCCAATTCATTTGAAACTCTCGTGCTGCCAAACATAAGGCCAAGAAAGTGTGAGGCTGTGGAATAGCAGCTTCTTTTGCAAGATCTACTGAAGTAAATAAAGCTTAACCAGTTAGAATTACCTTATTGAACCACTGAGTCCTAGAGGTATCATGTAAATCAAGGAGCAGGTGTTCAGGCTGAAACAAGCACAAGATAACTAAGTTTACATTATTTAAAAATGATAGCAACTAGTGCCAAGAGGTTAGCAATTTTGTTCGCTTCTTGTTGATACAAAGTACTGATGCACCTGATTGAGAGGACCGACGTTTCAAGTTTTGGATTGGGAAGAAGTCCTGATAATAAGACCATCATTTCAAATGACCAAATCTCGAAGCTGTTGAGCAATGAACCAAACAGAAACATCATAATTGCTTCTAGCTACAGAATCATGAAGACCCATGTCAACATTGCACAATGAATAGCATCAAGGCCAATTAATAAGAAAATGCAATCACTTCAAAGTCGTAAAAATCACATCATGAACATAAACTAGAATAAAAAGGTTGATAGCCCTTTAATGATTCTGAAGAAGGATAATGACCATCACTTGTCTCGTACACTGTCCCACAAGTTTTTGATCCTTTATGGATCTCTTTTTCTTTCTCTTTTTGTTGCCAAAAGTGAACTAGGAGCATAAAAGCTTGAGAATTACCAGATCATGACAGCAGAAGGAATTGCTAATTTCAGAAATCCGGGAATCCCATGAAAGGCCTCCTTGGAGAAACCGGTCCAAGTTCTTTTACAAGACGGTGAAATTCTGACATATATTGCCAGTAACAGCACATTTATCCAGTACGAGATAGCATTTGCCAAAGCAGCGCCTTTGTTTCCAAGTCCAGACTTGAACACCAGAAACCAACATATAAAAATATGCAGCAATGTGGTGATTCCTGAACTGACCATCATTGGAACGACATTGTTCTGTGTCTGCAGAAACCTGATGTGGCACTGCAGGAGTGCATATGCGAAAATGCTAGGGATCATGAACCGAGCGTAGGATCCTGCCTCCTCCGATATCTGAGGATCTTGCTTGAAGAAGAGAAGGATTTGGCCCGTGTTGGCCCAAATGATAGCGAGTGGAATGCTAGCTAATAGGAGAACGATCATGGCCCTCTGCTTGTAGATACCAAGCATGTGGTATTGCTTAGCTCCATAAGACTGACCGCAAAATGTGTCCAATGCACTTGCCATTCCTATCTGTTATGGACCAAGCATCTATAAGATGGTGTTTGGAGCAATTGATAGATGTCCCAAAATGAAATTAAAGAAGTTTGTCAGTATATCCTAGGAGCCCAAATGAGGCCTTGCTTGGAGCATCAGGAGGGCATTGCCATAGTTCACTCAACCTATATCCATTGGAAGAATCTGAACAGGAAAATTCTTTCATCTATTTGATTTTCGGACTAGGGTCCCCAACAATCTTTTTTAAGTGCAGTTAACAAATGTCCTAATTTGTGACAAACACCAACATTACGTTTCCAATCTCGCCATTGTTAGATCTAGCTAGAGAGAGAATCACACATTTAGCGCACTGAGGTTATTGAGAGATAACATATCCAGTAGATCAATCTTTGTCAAACTGCAATAATCTGAAAAGGAGCTAAGGTTAATAGACAAGCAATCTATTCATGGTACTTGGAGAGCAGGAGCGCCACGCAGTCTTAATTGATCCGACAATCGCTAGACTCTGTTTATTCAACAGGAAAGAGAATTCCTATAATCATGTCAGCAATAGAAGTGGCACTATACATCTTTCAAGATAAATAACATCGTGGAAGAAAACTTTCGTAGAAGTGACATGGTATGATGCTACTTTCCGATTCTTAAAATCTTTTATCTCTTAGTTGGTTTATCTCAAGATTAAAACGGGAAGAATTGTTGTGTCTTACCAACAAGCTAAAGCCAGTCACAGAAGCGAAGGACGTGGCCATGGAAGCACCGGAAAGTGCCAGCTCTCCAAGATGACCCACAAACATCACCGAGATCACCTGCAAACAATATATCATGAGGTTCACCGATACCAATGGCCCGGCCAACGACAGTTGCCGCTTCATTTCCAAGAAAATCTCGTCTTTCTTGAATCCATTCCCTGATGTGGATGCCTTCTTCTCCTGGGAAACTGCTAACAGGGTTGACTCCAAATGCTGTTTCTGTTCTTCCACGTCCATTTGATTGGTTCTTCTGTGCTTTTGGGCAGAGTGAGCGAAGCAGAGGGTAAAAACAGGGCAATAGCTTTAGAGATCCTAGAGATTCTCTCCGCAGAAAATGACCTAGTTGACGCCTTCAAAGACAACAACACACGTTTCTTCTCTGACAGCTACGTTTATCTTCTCGCATGCTTGGTGAAGTAGAATTTGGCAGATTTTTGTCGGGTTGGATTTCTTCTGAGTATTAAATATCTCAATTGTCTCTTTAATGCAAATAAAGTGTACCGAGACAACCAGAAGATTCCACCGAAGGAGACAAATCCGGTGTCCTTCTCACAAATACAATTGGAAAATTAGCGGCAAAAGGATACTATAAGTACCATAAGTTGTGTGCGGAGATCATTTTGATGTCATAACTTTTTTTCGAATCACTTTGGTGTCAAGTCGGAGGAAAAGAGATCACTTTAGTGACTCCAGTCAAAATTCCGGCAAAAAAAAGAGCCATGTCAGATTTCCAACAAGCTATGTCAGCTTTCCGGCGAGCCATTTCAGTATTAGAAATTAATAAATAAAAAAACCCACGTCAGATTTCCGGCGGCCATGCCAGCATTGGCACTAAGATGATCGTTTTTCATAAAAGTTGACACCAAAATGATCCGAAAAAAAAAGTTATGGCACCAAAGTGATCTCCGTACATAATTTATGGCATTTATAGTGTCTTTTTGCCGAAAATTAGCATTCTTTTTGTTTTGCCTGAACTAGAAAATCAACATCCTCATAGATCGAATATCAATCACACGATAATTGTCGATGTTGATGTGTTGCCGGAGTATGTTCCCTGTATTTGGTTGCCCACTGAACTTTGCCTTTGCTTGAAAGTCGTCGATGCATAATTCGAACTTTCCAGTTTCCAGTTACTTCGCTGAGAACAAATATTGAGCTTTTATTTTCGATCTTCAATCAAGTCTCTCTTGATTTTCCAATCAATGATACGCACTGACTGTGAACATTGGTATACAGAAAAAAGAAGAAAAAGACAAGTTGACTTGTCGATAAGGGTGGGCTTAAAAAAAAAGATATATAAGGAGGGGACGATTACAAAGAAGAAAGAAGAAAGAAGGAAAAGGGAAAAAAAAAGAAGAAGGAGAAAAAAGAAGAAGGGAGTTCGTGGCCACGCGTTTTGGAGATTTCGACAAGCGGGATTAACTCCGTTTCGTAGTGCTTGGTAATAATTTGTACTTTTTGTTCATTTAATTGGAAGAGTTTTCAGAGTTGAGCTCTACATTCGGATCCATGTGAATTTTGAGTTTCTGGGTTCACTCAAGGGGTTGTTAAGTTGTGAAATTATGTGGAAATGATAGCTTAGGTTGTTGTGGATTTGTGCAATTTTACAGAAGTCCATGCTGAATTACAGTTTGGTCGTAATTATTTTTTAAAGTTTTGCGCTCGTATTTGCCTAGTTCCAAATTTCTGTTTTTGGCGATGGTTTTTGCTGTCTTTTGAGTCGGAAGAGTTTAGGAACGTTTAGTACTTTAAAATGACAATAAGCCCACTTGAATCAGAGTTCGGTAGAGAGAGATAAGGCACGAGAAAATTTGTCACCCAAGTGGCCTTTCATCACGTGAGTGGTTTTTTTTCAGGTTAGTGGTTATTTGTCGTGATTGGCACTTCTTGAGGTCTGTTGTCGACCCGTAAGGAACGTTTTGACTCCAAAATATGTTTTCTAGCCAAATCTTAGTTAAGATGGTTATTTATTTGAGTTTGAATATCGCTTCTCGTTTAATTGATAAGATTTCGAATTCGCTTGAGATAACTTTCAATGTTTAATTTAAACATTTCCAGGTGAACGGTGCTTATCCCTTCTTTAAATTTGTAAACTCATATTTTAAAAGTGGTGAGGATTAAGGAGCACATTTGTTGCATAAATACCGATCGGGTGTTAGCAACCCTTTATGGTATTTCAAATAGTTTGAGTTGATTTTGATCATTTGAAATAGATTGATTTGAATACTTGTGAATGGTTTGAGGAATGGTTTATAAAATGAATTTTGAAAGGTTATACAAACTGATTTTATGAACCTAAATTTTGAAATGTATTCTAGTTTATGAGATGTATTCTCGATTTGATTTGTGAGTTATTGTAGGATAGGTTTGTGTTTGATGCTCATTGTCATTGTGCTCAAAATACATTGAAGGTTAGTGGGTATGAATATCATTCTCATGATATCATTGTGGGCTAAACCACCAACAATATAGGTAAAGATTTAGCTAAGGAGGAATCTTGGTCCCCTTTGTCCAAGGTGTTAAGTTTGATCATGGTTAGATATTGAACACTAGAGTGATTAATGGAATATACTACTGATGTGTGATTTAGTAAATTTTGATAAATGGAATTGGCCATTAATATTATTTTGATTTTGTTGATTGATATGATACATATAAACCATTATTGAGATGGTAAAACTTGCTTTTGACATTATGTGTATATTATATACTTGATTTGGGATATTGAGTTATGGTATTAATTTTATATATGCACAGTGAATGCTCGATATGTTTAAAAGAGATTTGCTCTACTCACTAGGCTATGGTTGAATGTTTTTTAGGTTCTTCCGCTAGGGACAAGTAGGATGAGGGCACTATAAGTGGGGAACTTTTAGTAGTGGGATTTTTTGGTATGAGCTGAGCTAGTTGTATATATCTGAGTTGATACTTGTTGGGTTAGCTAAGTTATGATATATATACGTTTTTTTTTTGTGCATTGTTGAAACTATGAACAAGTTTATCTAACACACACACACACACACACACACACACACACACACATATATATATATATATATATATGTATATATATGTATGGAGGTATGTCTTTTGATAATAGGTTGGACATTGGTTTGTATTTATGGCTACGTCCTTGTATTCGAAGGACGGCTGTATCATTTTCCCTTATACTTGTAGAAGCTGGGGTGTGACACTGAAAATCTAATATTGTTGAAAGATGAATTAAGGGCTGGTGACCTCTTATGGGCGTAATTACAATATAGTAAATTAAAAATTAACAAAAGTTTTGGACTTGTGTTGATTGAGCTTGTTTGAAACATCCCTTAGCTGATTTTGATGATAACAAAACTTAACTGAGTACTTAATATCTTTGATAAAATGTGCAACTATATTTTATTAATGTGGATATGAAAAAGAAGCAGAGGTTATATTTATGAAGAATTCATGGACTACCAGAGCCAGAATAAATGAGGAGGCATATCCAAGCCGAACCATATAAATCTTGCTTGTAATTTCTCTTTCCTAAACTTTTTGTTAATATTGTTAGCTCACTTACAAAACCAATTCATCCCCTGTTGATTGTTTATTTGGACTTAATAGGGCAGTTGATTAGAAAATGAATGAAGCGACGTGATTGAAAGTGGAAGGAAAACTTAAGTGACCAGATTCAAAGAAATAGTGTGAGTTTCTGGGATTGTGAGCTTAATAATTCGTCCGCCAAATCTTCTAGAGTCGAATGTAAAAGATTATTGCGCTTAAACTTCGCTAAGACGGGATAAACACAATGGTTAATATTTGACTAAGTTAATTGAAATTGTTGAACAAGCTTAAGCTAGTATTGCTAGGGTACTTCTTCTATCTTTGTATTTAATACTAATTAGAACAACTATAGATTTAAATATTATGTTGTAAAATTAATGCAGAAACTGATATGATCTTATAATTTAAATCAACGCAAAATCATTATAAAAGTAAATGAGGAACAATAAAGATACTAGAGACTTACGTGGTTTGGTTTGAATATTGGTACCTACTCCACGGGAAGAGCCAGCAGCATATAATCGACTAATAATCGGAAAATCATAATTACAATTACTCTTTTGAGCGTTTCTCGCATCTAGATTAAGCTTAAACTCATTATGATTGTAAATAAACAACTTGATTTGATATAATACTCAAAACACAAATCACCTTCTACGGCTAAACAGAAATCAATTTGATAGTATTGCTAAGGTACTTCTATCTTTGTATCAATTTCGTCATGGCTTTCTTTAGGGAGCTTGATTTCTCTTGTGCGGCTCCTGCTCTCTACTGAAGGAACCCTGAAAGTCCTTCACTATGCGGCTATCATACTGAAAAGAAAAAGCGAAAATGTAAGAAACCTTTCTTTTACTTTCTGTTTCTCTAACTTCACTTGGCCCTACACATATATTCTATATATATATATATATATATATATATAGAATATATGTGAGCCCCTTCTTTTGTCTTGTAGCAGCAAGGGCCTTTTATTTATTTTTCTCTCTTGTGTGGATATATAGAGGTATCAAACAACTACACATCCAAGTCCTTTCAACGATCTTTATGAGCCAATAATCCTGAGCCCCTTCATCCAAAACCAGTTGAGGAGATTACTTCATCAGATGAATTTTAATCCAAATAGGAAAGTGGATTTCTTGAGATTATTCACACAAGCTCAAACTCGAAATATAATTTAACAGATTATAACTTAGCGCTCGTGAAAGAAACTTTTCTCAAGCTTTTTTATCCACCATTGATTTGGAGATTATAACTTGCCATTCTCTCACTGACCCTCAAATCAATAGTGGATAAGACTGCTTGGGGAAAGTTTTTTTTTTTTTACACTGCTGTATATGCTCTTATTTTCCTACCCTGATTGAAATTTTTTTACCTTTTTTTGTGTGGGAGCAAGCCATGTTCTCATATTATATGATCTTATTTCAACAGCACGAATTTACACCCATCAGACTCACAAAAAGTCAAGTTTTACTGCACAAAGATTTATTTTCTTTATTACCAAACAAGATTAACATAAACTAAAACGCTCAAACTCCTCTTTTGTACAAGAAGTTTTTCCGTGCTGTGTTGTTGATGTTTTGTCCTGGTTCAGACAAGATTCAGTGCACAAGGATTTATTTTCTTTATTACCAAACAAGATTACATAAACTCAAATTCTCAATGTCCTATTTTGTACAAGTTGTTTTTCCGTGCCGTGTCGTTTGATGTTTTGTCCTGGTTCAGACAAGATTCGGTGCACGAAGATTTATTTTCTTTATTACCAAACAAGATTAACATAAACTCAAATTCTCAATCTCCTACTCTGTACAAGTTGTTTTTCCGTGCCATGTCGTTTGATGTTTTGTCCCGATATAGACCTCGTCAAAGTCTACTTTGGATGGTGAAATATTAATTAGTAGTAGCATGCCCATGCTATGCATGGGCTTTCGGTTCATATCTATTCTATTTTGAAAAAAATAATTAATAATGGATATTAATGATCGATGGCTTAACAATTTAATGTACTTTTCCTATCTTTTTTTACAGTTTTTGGGTTTAAGTTTTACACAAATTGGGTTGCCTTTAGCTTTAGTTAATGCATGTTCTTGATATCTTAATTGTTTCAGTCATCCTATCCTTCTGTTTATATTTTCATTCTATACAAGTTTTGTACAAACATTAGCTAAGTTTAGTTTACAAGAAAGATGTTTTATGCTTTTCGATTATAAGAAAGATGTTTTATCTAATGAATAAAGTATTTCATAAAGAATATTTCACTAGGACTATTAAATATTGTTTTATTTATTTAGCCCCATATACAGAAATTATCAGCTCAATCAATAAAAGATAAGTTCCTCCAAAACAATGCAGAATCTCTAACCTAGTCCATGGTGAATACAGTTCCTAATGAAACCACGTGGAATGGTAGTAGGGTTTTCAGAACAGGGATGATCCACTCTTGTCTGAAATGGCTAATTGGTGACATTGAACTCAGAAGACCATGACATGATGATGATTAAGGAAAGAGCGATCAGTCTACTGATGGTCCAATGGAACTTGTTCTTTTTGCTCAGATGCCAAAAGTACAGGCTGCGTGAAACCGGGAAGCTCCCGACGGTCCCATTGGTCCCGAGCCGCACATACCAGGTAATCTATTTTATGTGCAATAGATGGTGTGGAAAGGAATCAAAGTACACAAGCAATCTGAAACATCGAGCTTGAGGTAGCAGAAAGTGGCAACGAGACGTTCAGGACCTGCATATAGAAATGAATTGAAGAATCATTTGATGGTGGAGTCGCAAAGAAATCAAATTCTAGCTACAAAAGTTATAAAAAAAGAGTACAAGCTACGAAAGCTTCAAAATTAAAGTGGATGGTGCATTTGTTTTACAAAAAATCATTGACTTGGGAAATGTCTTCCTAAAATGATTGCTTGTATTGTTTATACAAATAAATGAACTAAAAGTATTTTCATCATCAATACAAATATATAGGCATGAATGGTTGTTAATAGTGAAAACATTTTAAATTGATTAATTTTTCTAAGTGATACATGATCATTTTTAAAATGCAAACGGACCTTTAAAATATTCTTTTTTTCCACGCAAAAACGAAGAATCAAAATAGAGGTGGATTGGAAAAAGGAAGAAAGCAAATAGAAGGAGAAAGATTGAGCATCGAAAACTTAAATAATCGACACTTAATAAAGCATTTGTGGAGGACAGCTTGTTTGATGATCAATTTACTTATAAAACACTACAAAAAAACAAGTTGTTTGACGAATAATTTTTCGTCGCTAATTTGCGACGGAATTAGCGACGAATATTTTTTTCGTCGCAAATTAGCGACGAATAATTTTTCGTTGCTAATTTCTGACGAAAAAAAAATTCGTCGCAAATTTGCGACGAATTTTGCGACGGAAAAAAAATCCATCGCTAATTTGCGACGGAATTTGCCACGAAAAAAAATTCGTTGCAAATTTGCTACGGAATTAGCGACGAATACACTTCGTGGCAAATTAGCCACGAATTTTACCACGAATTTTTTTATAAAAAAATAGAATATTTTTTTTTGTTTTTTCGGGGTAAATTAGCGACGAATTTTACGACAAATACACTTCGTGGCACATTAGCCACGAATTTTTTTTATAAAAAAAAAATAGAATATATTTTTTGTTTTTTCGGGGCAAATTAGCGACGAATTTTGTGACGAATACACTTCGTGGCAAATTAGCCACGAATTTTTTTAATAAAAAATAGAATATTTTTTTTTGTTTTTTCGGGGCAAATTAGCAACGAATTTTGCAATGAATACACTTCGTGGCAAATTAGCCATGAATTTTTTTTTATAAAAAAATAGAATATATTTTTTTGTTTTTTCAGGGCAAATTAGCGACGAATTTTGCGACGAATACACTTCGTGGCAAATTAGCCGCGAATTTTTTTAATAAAAAAATAGAATATATATTTTTATTTTTTCGGGGCAAAGTAGCGACGAATTTTGCGATGAATACACTTCGTGGCAAATTAGCCACGAAATTTTTTTTATAAAAAATAGAATATTTTTTTTGTTTTTTCGGGGTAAATTAGCGATGAATACACTTCGTGGCAAATTAGCCACGAATTTGTTTTTTTATAAAAAAAAAATAAAATATTTTTTTTTAGGGGCAAATTAGCGATGAATACACTTCGTGGCAAATTAGCCACGAATTTTACTCGTGCATACTGCAAGGCAGATGATCCTTTTAGATAATTATTTGTACAAAAAATGTACGAGAATATAGTAATTACTTGCTGTTTTATAGTTTTCATGTACAAGTTTCAATATAAACTCGTAGAATTATTTTGTATTTTAGTTGTGCAATATCATTGGGTTTTGCTATCAATATAGTGAATTTGTACTTCATTGTATGATATACGAGTTTTTCTCGTGTTGCGACGTAATAGAATAGCTTTTCGATAAGTTAAAGTGCACAAGTTTTCTTTGTAGAAATTCAACAAACTACTTAGTAATTTTTTCTTAAGAAATAGTAGATCAATGGATTTTGGGTTTCAAATTGAGGCAAATACCATTCTCACATGAAAACCTGCTATCGCATAATAACATCCTAATTTTCCTTGCCATGTGAGGGAAAAATTGTTCGGTGACCCGCGCAAACTCTCTCTCCGTAATTGGTGTCTGGCATTCTCCATCACATTGAGCTGACTACATTATTCTTTGCGGATCTCACTTTTAATTTAAGATTATTTCTTGGATTTTTTCTTCTTTTTCTTGTGCTTTATATTATATTAAAAGACAAAACTACTCACATTCCTTTCAAATAATTTTTTTCACTCTAGCCTCATCTTCCACACCCATTCATTGCAAGGTTTCCTTCATGTCTGTCTTCTTCTAAACTTATTCCAACAATTATTAACTTTATTTCCCTGAATAATCCTCATGATCGTGAATTTTTCAACTTTGATTTTTGGTACAAATTTACGAAAATTTACTCAAAGATTGAATATTGTGGTTGATGAATGCATTATACTCAATTTACTCATATTTTATTGGAAGATAATATTGAAAAGGACCCAAATTGCTTAAATGTATCTATTGATAATGAAACTGCGAATGGAGAACAATAATCAATCATGTCAACAAGTTCATTTGGTGTTTCTCACACTAAACATTGAAACTTATTCCTTGATATATACATGTTTTAAGTGAATAATGACTTTCTTATTGATGCAATTGAAAACTTTTATTGTCTGATTCAGGTAAAATATATTTTTCAAGAGAGTAACCTTTTTCAGGGGAGCCAAGAAACTGACTGAATAATATCTTTTATTAAGCTGCATATGCAACTTGTTATTATTGCAGTGGATAATTTTCTTTTTATTAATGATTCAATGAAAATTATGGTGCATTTAGAATTGACAAAAAAATATGTGTTCCAGATCCCATGTACTTAGAATTTGAAACCTACTCGTCGAAATAGGTTTCTGAATTTTTGAATTTTGAAACTTACCATGCATGCCTTGGAACCTAGAACCGAACAGGTTCCCACCGGTCCGGTTCTCCGATTCTAGGTTTTATCTAGAATTATGCTCACTCCTAATGTAGAGTAGGTTCGAAGTTTCAAAAAATAAGGAACCTGTTCCGAAGGTCCGAACCAATTAATAATTTTTTTTTTGGTCAAACCCAATTGAATTTAGAAAGTTAATAATATCTAAAACGCGATCCAACTTGTGTCCATGGACTAGATCTTACTCCCCCTTTTCGTCGCCTGCCTTTTCAGACTACACTTCGTGGCAACAGCAACAGCAAACGCACGTTTTTTTCCTCTTTTTTCGAAAATTTTCAGGAACCCGCGCGCGAACTCGCCTCCCCCCTCACACCGTCGTCTCCCCTTCGCTCGCTCTTTTTATTCCCCCCCCCCCACCGCGTTCCCCTCTCTCTCTCTCTCTCTAACTTCTCTCCCTCTTTCTCTCTCTCTAGCCTCCTCCGCCGCTCCTCCGCCATGCACCGCCGCCTCCACCAGCCCCCCCTCCCCCCCTCCGACTCCCCCGCCTCCTCTGACGACGCCGCCGCCAAGCGCGGCAGCTACAACTGCGGCCGCCCCAAGAAGGGCCACTCCTGCCACGCCGGCTCCTCCCCTTCCCCCGCCTCCGACTCCTCCTCCTCCTCCGCTGCCGTCGCCGCCGCCGCGGCCTCCTCCATGCCCGTCAACGCCGCCGCTGCCGCCTCCTCCGCCGCCGCCGCCCCTCCTGCCGCGCCACCTGATCTTGCACCTCCGCCGAGCGCTCTCCTTCGACGACCTCGACGTCCGTGCCGACAAGGAGGAGGAGGACTTCGACGAGGTGGAGCCGGATCTCGACGAGCGGGATCGGGATTTCGTGGACGGGGATGCGGACGCCGGCGGGTTGCCCGCCAGGTGCTTGTGGGAGGTCCTGAGGAGGTTGCCGCCGGCAGAGCTGCTCGCGGTGGCACGGGTGTACAAGGGGTGGCGGGAGACCTCGAGGAGGGTGTGGTGGGCCGCCGAGGATTTGAAGCTCAGGGTTCCCTCGAGAGCTCGGCTCTGTTTCGTCGGATCGGTGTTGAACAAGTGCCCTGAGCTCGTTAGGCTATCTCTGTGGATGGAAAGGTTAGTAATCAGTCGTGGATTCGGATCTAGGATGTTTCTTCGCGAGGTGGATCGGATTGGTTGATGTTGATGCACTGATGAGACAAGGTTCATCTGGGGTTATCAATTAGGACCGAAGTTGATGCACGAGCTAATAACCGCAAGTGAACTGTTTGATCAATTGAATTGAAGCTTAAAATTAACAAAAAGAAATGTATGCTACGAGTAGTGGAAATGCTGCTTGATCAGCATTTATGGACAAACTTTCATGAATCAGGGAGTTTCAGGATTCGCACATTAACCCTTTAAGGAAGGCCGAGAACTTGTGAATCAGTTGTGAGTATCCTGATTGGATCTCACAATTAATTCCAGTTCGAGATCATGTGCTTGAGCTTCGTCAAATTTTTCTGGATTTATGACACTGATTCGGTTCTTGTTCTGTTTGTTGGCTTTCACAGTGATGTAGATGCGACGATGCTGGCTTGCATTGCGTTCTCATACCCTAATCTGGAGTCTGTGGAGATCTCAACATCCTCTAATGCTGTCAACCGGATTACAGGGTAAACTTTCTGTTCCCCTTTTGCGGATTAGGTCTTTCATATGAGATTTGTTTGGATCTTGGTTATATATGTATTGAGGCATTTCTGGGGTGGAGAACCCTAAGATCCCTGCATTACTGCTCAATTAATTCTATGCCATCAGCATTCATCTGTCTTTCAACCTTGGAAGTAGCAAACAAGAAGCCCGTCTAGTAATGTCGTCAGAATTTTTCTGGATTGTCGAATCTCTTCCAAATACTAATATACGAGATTTCATTTACCCACTGTATCATTTGTATTGACATTGACAAATCTTATTAAATCCTAATGCAAAATACACTGTAGTGTGGTGCGTGTAATACCTACAAGTTCTACACAATGCGCGTGAATTTATCGAACTTCGTCTATGCTGATTTGTTGTGGAAGAACTTGATTGGAACAGGCAAGAAGTTGATTGTACAAAAAAAATCAACAAATTGAAATGATTATAATTGGACTTAATCCTTTTTCAAAATGAAGAACAATATGGGGAGAGTGCTGCACTATGCAAAATGGCTCCAGACTAATTACAATTACCTTATCAAGGTTTTTCCATGAAAGAACAGAGCCGAGTGCACGGATTGAACAATTAAGGACGAAATCATGCTGTTCTACTAGAGATACGTCTCACGTGCATTTGATTTCATTTTATGATTTTAATTTCTTTCAGCCAATCTGATCACCAAGAAAAGTTGATGAATAATTAGCTAAGGAAAATGCACAATTTGCTGTTAAATACAAGTAATTAATGTGTTGCGGGTCTTTAAATTGGCATTCCCCGATACCTAAAATCTCCTGATTCCTCGTATTAAGAATGCTTAAAAGCCTCTTATGGCCAATTTGTCAAGAAATGGTTGCTCATATTCTTGTATTAGTCTAGTACTTGAAATAAGTACTCATGGATTAAGTTTTGTTATATTAATCTAAATTAAGTTGATTAACATAAAATTATGGGGAGAAAAACCCTTGTCCGGATGGTTAACAGCTCATTTCTTCAAGAAACCTTGGAAATATTGTTGGAAGTGATGTTACTGCTGGTTGCTGCTGTTGCTGACTTTTTAGATCCTCTAAACTTCTTGGTGCTGTGAACTCCATAGCCATTACTTTGGTTCCTCAAGTCCCCCATTTGCAATACATCTATAAGTGTATTACCTCTATCCTGGTCAAGAAATTGAGACGTATGCTTTTATTAGCTTGAATCAGACTGCCTTTATATGGGGGACAAGGATTGTTGAGAATGTTCTTTTTGCCCATGAGCTGGTGAATAATTATCACAGGAAGGGCTGTATCTCCAAGATGTGTTGTTAAGGCTGACATTATGAAAGCCTTTGACTCAGTGGATTTGAGATTTATTCTTAACATATTTCATGCTGCTGAGGCTCCTCATCATTTTGCTTAGTGGATTGCAGCATGATTACTACTCTTAAATTTTCGATCAATGTTATTGGGTAGTTAGCAGGCTATTTTAGAGGAAAGAAGGGATTCAGACAAGGAGATCACTTATCTCCCTATCTTTTTGTCGTGGCCATTGGGGTGCTTTCCAGATTACTTGATGTTGCAGCTACAAATGGGAACCTCTGAAATATTATGCTTCATGTAGCAAATCCCAAGTGAGTAAGCTACTCACTTGGGATTTGCAGATGATCTCATTTTCATGAATAATGATAAGGACTGATTGCTCTCTCTTTTGGTTGTGTTTGATATATTTAAAGCTCTTTCAGGTCTTGAGCTTAATCCAGCTAAGACAGAGCTCTATACTTCTGGTATTCAGAAGACTTAATGCAGGGGATGGTGGAATTTCTCGTTCCCCAGTTGGTGAGCTTCCTGTGAGATATCTGGGAGTCCCTCATGACTGCAAATCTTTGATTGATAAAGTCACTATTAATTTGCATTATATGGACCACTTGAAAGCTCTCTTATGCTGCAAGACTCCAGTTGATTAGTTCCGTTATACAGAGCATTGTCCACTGCTGGTGAAATGTATTCCTACTCACCAAAAAGTTCATTAACTTGATTGGCCAGAAAATCTTAGTTTTATCCTCTTCTTTTTTGGTAATGGCTCTCGTGCTAAAGGGGCCAAAGTAAGTTTGGATACTATTAGCTTGCCTAAAAAAGAGGGTGAAATTGGATTCAAAAGGATTGAGTGGTCGAATAAGGCTTGTGTTATGAGATGTATAAGGTTGTATTTTCACAGGCAGGATCCAGTTGGGTTGCTTGGTTGGTTGCTTATAGGCTATAGGTAGGTCCTTTTGGACTCTTCCGATCTAAGCTAAATTCCTCGTTCATTTGGAGGAAGTTTTTGAAGCTTAGAAATGATGTCAGGCCTTGTATCAAGCATGTCCCCTTGGCTCTCTGGTCAATCATTTCACTAGTAGAATTATCTATTGTTGTGAAAATATGGGACAAGCGAATCGGACAATAGAATATTTTTTTTTGTTTTTTCGGGCCAAATTAGCGACGAATACATTTCGTGGTAAATTAGCCACGAATTTTGCCACGAATTTTTTTTAATAAAAAAATAGAATATTTTTTTTTGTTTTTTTGGGCAAATTAGCTACGAATTTTGCCACGAATTTTTTTTAAATAAAAAAATAGAATATTTTCTTTTTTTTTCGGGGCAAATTAGCGACGAATTTTGCGACAAATACATTTCGTGGCAAATTAGCCACGAATTTTTTTTAGAAAAAAATAGAATATTTTTTTTGCTTTTTCGGGGCAAATTAACCACGAAATTTTTTTTATAAAAAAATAGAATATTTTTTTTTGTTTTTTTGGGCAAATTAGCCACGAATTTTTTTAAATAAAAAAATAGAATATATTTTTTTTGTTTTTTCAAGGTAAATTAGCGACGAATTTTGCGACGAATATACTTCGTAGCAAATTAGCCATGAATTTTGCCACGAATTTTTTTTATAAAAAAAATAGAATAAATTTTTTTGTTTTTTTGGGCAAATTAGCCACGAATTTTGTCACGAATTTTTTTAATGAAAAAATAGAATATTTTTCTTGTTTTTTCGAGGCAAATTTGCGACGAATATATTTCGTGGCAAATTAACCACGAATTTTGCCATGAAATTTTTTTTTAAAAATAGAATACATTTTTTTGTTTTTTCAGGGCAAATTAGCGACGAATTTTGCGATGAATACATCACGTGGCAAATTAGCCACGAATTTTGCCACGATTTTTTTTTATAAAAAATAGAATTTTTTTTGGGACAAATTTTGCAACGAATACACTTCGTGGCAAATTAGCCACGAATTTTGTCACGAATTTTTTTTATAAAAGATAGAATTTTTTTTTATTTTTTCGGGGCAAATTAGCGACGAATTTTGCAACGAATACACTTCGTGGCAAATTAGCCACGAATTTTTTTTAATAAAAAAATAGAATATTTTTTTTTTGTTTTTTCAGTGTAAATTAGCAACGAATTTTGCGACGAATACACTACATGGCAAATTAGCCACGAATTTTGCCACAAATTTTTTTTTTTTTGGGGCAAATTAGCGACGAATACACTTCGTGGCAAATCAGCCACGAATTTTGCCACGAATTTTTTTATAAAAAAATAGAATATATTTTTTTTTCGGGGCAAATTAGCGACGAATACACTTTGTGGCAAATTAGCCACGAATTTTGCCACGAATTTTTTTTTGTTTTTTCGGGGCAAATTAGCGACGAATACTCTTCGTGGCAAATTACGGCGCGCAACATCTCTACCTTGGTCGAAATGAAGTACGACGTCCCAGGACGCGTCGCCGACCCAACGCCCAACACTTAGAGCATTGCACATGCGGAAGCAATATACATAAATCACCCGTGAAATAATCAGTAAATGACCAAGGGTAGAACATCAACCAGCATTACGAAAATATATACTTGCGTCAACCAAGGAAACATATACACTGCCAACATACCGAGCATTCAACCAACCATACATTTAGACTTAACAAAATGAGTACCCGAAAACCACCTACACAACAAAAAAGGATAGGTGGTTTGGCTAACTTGACCCCACTACATGCCGACTTATCTTCCAAAAATCGACTGGTCAGACCTATTCTATACAACCCCTAAAACTAGCTCGGTGGCACCTAGGGTCATCCTCCACCCGACCATCTCCCGAGTCCTCTGACTCGTACACCGGAGGAATCGCTTGCAATGGCTGTACAACCTGCGGCTCCACTGGAGGCACCACGGGCGGCTCCTTATCCGGCCTCTCGGGATCCACGATCTCGCCATCGGAAGGCTTGATTGCCGAAGGGTCCCACTCACCAACGCCATCGTAGGGGATGTCAAAACTCCTCAGTGGGCCGGTCTCCTCTAAACCATCTCGATACGTCCACGCCACGTACGAATAGGGCTTCAGGTATAATCCACCCTCGTCAACCCAAACCACGCTCGAGTGCTTCACATAAGCTCGACCGTCTCCTATAGGGTATTCCACCTGATGATTATCCACGTGACTGGGGATCCCAAAACGAGGAGGTGGACTTTCTGGATTCATGGCTGGGGGTCTGAAATATTGGGTTTTAACAACAATAAGACGAATCTCAGCGAGTAAAACCCCCTAAACCTAAATTAGGCTAACATGCACCTCCTGACATGCAATAAATCACAACAACTAGTAACAACTATCAGTCAATTGACCTAGGCCCTCAGGCCCAGATCGCACACCTCACTGACCCTGCAAGTTAGGCAATTTAATATAATATCTACGGCACATACGCGGCACACTCAGTCACACGTACGCCATACGCATGCTCATTCTCATCAGTGCATGCATCGCACACGAGTCACCGAATCTCACATACTCGCACACTTGCCAATGCACTCTCGCATACAGATGCCTTCACTATGACCATGCTCGTGATCTAGCTCAATACTGCACACTGGCACACTGCTCATTTTTTCAATTAGAGCTCGACCCACGTAAAACGCATCAAGTCTATATCTCAATACCAACACTTCATGGCCTGCGTAAAACGCATCAGGCCCAGTGTCTCTAGCCCGCGTCAAAACGCATCAGGCGCAACACCGATTTCCTTATGGACCCAAGCCCGCGTAAAACGCTTCAGGCTGGCCGTCTTCCGGACGAACCGGGCATCGTCCCGCATAACACGCATCAGGACGGGTTCAACCTCGCGTAAAACGCATCAGGGCTCTTAGTGATTACACATACACACAACTAGTTTTATCTGGACCCCGCGTAAAACGCATCAGGGTAATTAGGGTGATCACATGTTCATGTCAGGCACGCATACACGCACAATCTCATTTGAGCCAATGCTCAGCAAGCGAAATGCGTGGCCATGCAATCCAGCACTCGGGCAATCACACGATGCACAATGAACATCCAATTTCAACTCAGGCACGTAGTCAATCAATGCCAGGACATACTCAATAAATGCCACGATGTGCTCAATTAATCATTTGACATGCTCATATTAGTCACAATACACTCAATTAACATACTAGCATGTCCATAAAACAATTCATTTCAATATTGCATGGCACAAAATCAACGCACACAATTCGTGCAATTAGAACAATATAACTTCGCATTCTATAGGCCCAACATGCTCATAAATTCTCAGCCATATAAGGCAATCGACATGGCAACTCCAAATTAACGCCCAATCGAGCACAAATCAACCACTCAATGGACCATTCGAATCATGTTCGGGAATTTCCATACTAAATCCCAAATTGCCCGAACTTAGGCCAATTAACCATCACACGGGCAGCCACTAATTCCAGTCATTTTTGGCCATAAATCGACCTCAAAATATTTCATCAAACCTCCCAATTCATCTCCACATCAGCCACTAATCGAACAATACGGTATTCACGGTAATTTCACAATTAGGCTTCCGATTTGTCCAAACTTGATCTAATTAATCTTCGATGTGGACAGCCACTAATCAGCACTTCCTCAGCTTCTAATCCGCTTCCAAATCAGCATATTAGTCCGCCAAAATCGACACGACATTAGCCACTATGATCGGCTCATTAATTACCCCTAAATTGATCGTTCTTGATCCCGTTTAATCCCAATATGGATAGCTACCACCTCTGGTCAATCTCAGCCGTGAATCAACCTCAAAATATCACATTTAGCTTTCCCATTCGTCACCAAACTGATCACCAAAATGGACAATCCATAACCTACTTGGGAAGTTACAATTAAACTCGAAATTGACCAATCTTAATCCCAATTAACCCCGATATGGACAGCCACGATTCAGCACATCCTCGGCCATTTTTCCACTTCCAAAACATCACCCTAGGCTCCCATAATCATCCCATAAACAGCCTCCACTAAACAACCGCTAATCAAGCCTAATTTCCACTAAACAACCACTAATCAAATGCTTGGAAGCCTAATTAGGGTTTAGGGATAGTTTACTCACCTAATCCTAAGCTCCAAAGGGGCTGAACCGGCGAGGAGAACGGGCGGCCCAAGCGGCGGCTCATGGCGGCGCTCCGGCGATCCTCGCGGCGGCGCACGGTGACGGTGGTTCCTCATGGCGTAAGGACCGACCGACGGCCTAGGGAGAAGGGAGAGAGAGACGAGACGGTTGGGTGAGGTGGCGGCGCGGCGGTGGCTTGGACGGACGGTGGCCGGCGGTGACGGGCGCGCGGCGCTCCGGCGGTCGGCGGCGGTGGCGATCGGCCGAGAGAGAGGGAGAGAGGAGAGGAGGGGGAGTGTTGGCTTGGAGGGGAAGAAATGAGGAGAGAGAAATATTGGTCTTAAATGGGGTTTGACCAACTTTTTCCAAATTCCCATTTTGCCCCTCTCTCACTTGGTCCATATTAATCCAAACCAAAATATCCGAGGGCGTTTTTGTTTTTCAATCCTTGAATTATTGGGCTGAAACAAACCAATATTTAATCCCCAAATTAAATCCCAAAATTAAACCTAGGGGCAAAATCGTAATTTTCCGGTTCCGGGCCGAATTTCCAATTTTCGACCGTACCGACCCCAAATATAATTGACCACTCAAAATGATGTCGTCCTCATAAAAATAGTTGTTTACGCCCCCGAAATCCGACGTCCAAGTCCAGATCCAATTTCGCGATCAAAATCGCTCAATTACAATTATAGGGTCTGTCACTAACGGGCGGCTGTTTAGGGGGTTACGCGTATCGACCTAGGGTTGCCCGAGTCGTGATGGTCTCGACTACCGAGAGAACGCGAGGAATTATTGCTAGTTCCGGAGGTCGTGATCGTTCGGATTTAGTTCGGGATTTGTTCGCCACGCGTACTCTCGGTCATGCGGAATCACCCGCGATCCGATCGTACGTCGTTGGCCAAACTAAGTCCGTCACCTTCCTAGGATCGGCCCACATTGGCCCAAAATATTTCCTCGTCATTTCTCGGAATCGGTGCTCGATTCGCGATCGGGTCCC